GGTGTCCATGTTTGATGCTTTAGGGGATCTGGGTAAGTCTGCAACGCTGCCCCAGAAGAATCAGTGGGTACCAACATTGTGCCATGGCGAAATCTTCACAACATTAAAGTCATGGCATACGGTACCCCCAAATCCCTAGCGCAATTTATGAGGGCCCCCAACCGTACTGGGACCTTTGATTCTGAAGTCTGTTTGTCTCGCACCTGCCCCCTCAATGCCTGGCTTACAAGACGATGGCCAACTGGTAGCAGTGGATTCGTCGCGGCAACAAGCGCATGTCTCTAGGCTACGGTTCTTTTGCTCAGCTCTATGCATCACCACCGTAGATCCTTGATCGTATGGAGCGGTGTATGTTTCACCAGAGCATGGTTCCATCCAACGCGGCGTGACTGTGTTGGAGTTCCTGTTCCCTAAAACAGACTCCTCAATGGCTGCAGGGGCCGCCAATTCGGCTTCACAGTACTGTTGGGAGGCGCTCCTGAAGGAGAAACTACAATACCTCTCTCCCCCAGTAATATAACGGTATTTTGTTCGGTGGATTATTGCCAGGGTGAGGGTGGGTGGGGGCTCATTATGTAGGGGACGGGGATTAGGAATCTAAGTTTGGACTGACATGCCCTGCTTTTTAGGGCTACATATCAGGATTTGGGGAGAAGTAAAGTAACGCGCTTTGCTTGTATACAGGCTTTGGAGAATACTGTAGATCAACACATATACATATATATATATATCCACATATCTATATATATATATATGTATATACATGTTTATACGTGCATGTTGATGGTTTTTGTAGGGCTAGTATATTTACCGTTCGTGTTTTTTTGCTTCTGGGAGAGCCCATATTTGGAGACCATAAATACAGACCTCTCTCTGACAACGAACATGACTGCAGTCCGTCTTACCGTACATGCAGATCTCAGGGCATATCGGACATCTCAAGGAACCCTGCACGCTAAACTGGGGTTCCCGTTAGGGAGTTTAGATTAAGTTGCCATTATGCGCGTATATAGCAAAGGATAGAGTTTCCTTACTATAGCACCTTAATTTAAATTTGTTAACAGCAACCCAGTAAACTCTAAACTCTACATAACCCCTATTATCCATGTAGTTTCCATTTTCCACTATCCCAAACTAGCCCCTATATAGTGCAGAGCCAGGTTTCAGACAGCTTTGACTGGAAGCGGGAGACCACCGACAACTACCGTGTGGAGGGCAAGCACATGGTAGGCCCGTACAAGGACTTGCATCTGGGTGCCCTCGCGTTTAGGGAAGTAGGGTTTGGGGTTTAGGGACTGAGGGTTTAGGGCCTAGGATTTTGGGTTGGGGTTTAGGGTTTAGGGTCTAGGATTTTGGGTTTACGGTATAGGATTTAGGGTTTCAGATTTCGAGGGGACCCCGATAGGGGTTATACAGCCCCTATTAAAGTCCCCTTTAAACCTCAACCCGCAATCCTATACCCTAAACCCAAAATCCTAGACCCTAAACCCTCTACTGGTCTAGGACATACGCGAGAAGATGGATTTCGACCATCACGGATGCTACGACGTCAAGCGCCAAGAGCTCCAGGATGAAATCGTTGGCAAGGCTTGTGGTTTAGGTGGTTTAGGGTTTAGGGTCTAAGATTTAGGGTATTATGGGGTTTAGGGTATTATGGGGTTTAGGGTTTAGGGCTGAGGGGTTAGGATTGTTAAGGGTTTAGGGCTTAGGACTGCGGGTTCGAGGCTTTTAGGCGTAATGATTCGGGTGTTATGGTCCGGGTTTGCGGGGTAGGGGGCTGAAACTGGGCAATTTAAAGCGACCTCACCCGACCTCACCCTAAACGGTGGTTTATATAGGGAATAGTACCAAACTGACTTTAAATTTGGATTTGAAATTATTCAAAAAAACCCTGCTGAAAGGAGTGAGGGGCGCAAGTTCAGATGCCCCTAAACCCTAAAGCCTATACCTCAAAACGAGGCGAAGCTAGCCAACTCAGAAATTCTAGCTATGGTAACCCCGGCCACCCTAAAAACAAGCACTTTCCGAAAACAATGAGAGTGCACCATCTCTTTATGTGCGGGTTAGTCTTAGCCTCTATATGATCTCCACGGCGAGCCTTTGTGATGCCTATACATCCCGGGATTCCCTATTACTATTAGGTTTACTACTAGAAATATTACTGTGATTATTTCTAATATCACTATTATTACTATTATTGTTATTATTACTACTACTGCTGTGAATATTGTTATCACTACTCTTAACCTCGCTGTTATTACTATTGCGATTACTACTATTTAGAGCAACGCCATGTTGAGAAACTCCCTCACCGGGGTGATTTGCTGCCCAGAGCAGGTGGTTGGAGCTGGCAGCAGACAAGCTTACCCGTGGCTACTGGGGCTCAGGATTTGGGGTTTCAGGTGGATATTTCTTCACTTGCTTTCCGTGTGGCTTGGGGCGTAAGGCTTAGGGTGATTCCGTGTGTTGCTCAATAGGCTTTTGGGTTTTAAGGTGGACCAGGGACCTGGGGATCACTGCCAGTTGCTCTACCTTTGTTCATCAATGCAGAGGCCGCAAAGGGAATAACGCTTTGAACCCTGAACTAAACCCTGGACGACCAAGCCCCAATCTTAAGCCCAGGATCGTCTTCACCGCCGGCTCTTTTTTTGCCGGCAAGTCGTGGGTGGCGTCTTGGATGCTTGAACAGGGCTACCTACCCTTAGAGGACCTGGTGAGGACCGACCCAGACCTGATCCGAACGCAGCTGCCAGAAGCTGGGACCGGGAGATGAAAAGGAATAAGGGAATATGATACAGGTAATACAGGGTTTAGGGGTTATACTACGGGAACGTAGAATATAGGGATTACGTATCCTTTATCTCCTACTGAGAACCAATAAGGATTTTGTGCGAATACTTGAGAACTAACAACTCTTGATCTATCAAAAGCTAGGGGTCCCTTCCGGTCCCGCCGTTTGGTCGGGATCGGAGTATTTGAGGATATCAATATCAAATATTCCCCCATATATATATCTAGATATAATGATACTACATCGGAGGGGCTTCTTGTTAGGGCACCTGGGAGGGTTGCTACAAGAGGGAGGGGATTATAAGCGGACCCCTATATGAGCCGAGGAGTTTGAACTGAGTCCTGACGGGTCTCTGGAGTCCTTTACAAGTAGGGTTTAGGGTCAGTACAGCCCTACGGAATTCCGAGAATAACAGCTTCGCCCCAGGTCCAAGGAAACAAGAGCCCCAAGCAGAGGTACATGCAAGTTTCTTAAAATCATACAATCTTCAAAGAGGAACCTGAGCGTCTCTTTGCAGTCCCGACTAAGCCCTAGACCCTAAACCGCGTCTCTAGGGTCTTAACCTGAAGGCCTGAACTCGAAACTCTTTTTCCAAATTTATAGGCTCCTACACGCTCATACATTGGAATCCTCTAGGCGCTGCATAAAGCCCACTTCCCCCTTCCATTCTGATGTCCTCCATTCAGAAAGCCCAAACTGCGGTCAAGGTGAAGGGTTTAGGGTTTAGGGGTTGAGGGATGAATAACCACGCTATTCTTACCGCCCTCACAAACATTAGAAATTACCACACAAAAGGCTTTGTACGTTTCATGATGCTTTACACACTTTTTAGCTGCAAAAACTTAATGCACCATCCTTCCCTCATACTGTTGCACCCGTCTGGTGCAGCAGTGAGAGCTGCTTCTGCTGCAACAAGCTTATCCATTTTTCGGTCGAACCCAGAAACCTAACCAGAGGATGTGCCTCTTCATCCGATTTGCCTGAAACCGTCTTGAATCAGTGGCATGAAACATCGTTACCATTAAGAATCACATCTGAGCCATTCTTGAAATCCTGACATAAATTGACATGCCCTGCCTTGCGTTTTGCATTCCCAGGCTTTTAGATAAAAACCTTCAATGAGGTAAAAACTTGTCTCGCCCCCGTCGAACCAGACTCATGCCCGCTTTACCAGAGAACTTACTTTATTCTAATTATGTAGGTAGATCCCTACATTGCAATCCCCATGAGCCCCAACAGAAACCAAGCTTCCATCTCTTTTTCCAGTTCCGGCCCAATGGATCCTTGTAGTAGTTCCTACATAACCCCCAGAAGTAGCAGTTTCCATTTTCATATCTATTCCCTGGATCCGAAACCCTAAACGGGAGTTGCCATGTACCCTTTCCATTCCTGAAACCCTTCACCCTAGATTCCCTACATGATTCCCCCTAGATGATAGTTTACTTTCTTCTCCCTAAGCCTCAGACCTTGAATCTTAAGCCCTAAACCCTAAACCTTAAACCTTAAGCCCTACTACTTCATTCCCAAGGAATGGCCAGGCTACCTGGCTAAAGAGGGCTCAGAAGCCGCTGTTATGACACAGATGCTCGGCTCTTCTGAGAAGATGCTTTCTATTCTTTCTATATATATATATGTAGAAATGTAGGGTTTAGGGTTTAGGGCTTAGGGTTTAGAATATACATGATTCCATGAATGAAGTGGCCCCAATACAGACCCCGGTAGACCATAATCCTGACTACAAGGCCCCCCAAACTGGTATTTGAAATATTAGGAAGCCCCCCGTATACATACACCGTGTATATATATATATTTATTTATATATATAGAAGCTCGATACATATTTACATATAATTATAGATGCACACTTATGTGCGAGGTTTAAGGCTTAGGGATTTTGATTTGAGGCCTGGGGCTTGCATGACCCTTGGCACGCTAGAATTCCAACCTTTGACATGGTGCTAGGTACTGAAGGTCATATGGGATTCTTGGTATCAATGGGACCCCTAATTTTGGGAACTACCGATGTCTGTGCACCCAAGGAGGGAGGCCGGTACTCTTGCCCTCATTGCGCAGTGGGAGGCCATGCGTCAGGGACGACACATCTTGGTCGATGGCTCCTTGCGGAAGCTGGGACAGTTTAGGGTTCAGTTCTTCGGGTTCAGGGTTTCGGGCTTAGGGTATAGGTTTTCAGGGTTTTGTGTTTGCTGCATCCCTCCAACAGCAGTGCCTTGCCTAACCGTAATGACTGCAATAGTACATTAAGCGCTGCTGACTCTTGGTTTGCCGATATACATTGGAATTTCAGACGCATGCTTCTGTCCGCTATTCTGGCTTTGACTACTATGCTTCAGCATCCTTACTATCGGCTCTTGCTGTGTGCGCTAGAACGGGTATTTGCCAATGCCTTGCCTACAAACATTGGGCGGATGTTATTGTTTTTGCCGCCTCCGCAAGGTCTGGCTTCATGAATTAGATTTACGCCTGGGCATCCAAAACCTAGAGCTGACACCAAGGAATGCCTCCCGACAACAGGCCTTTTTCGCAGAAATCCGTGAAGCATATCCCGAGTATCGGATTGCCATCATTCATGTGTTTGCAAGTTGGGACGCTATGCAGAAGCGGTCAACTGTCACACGTGAAGGCGGACGTGTTACCAGCCCAAAGGCTCTACGCACGTCCTTCAATGCCGTTACTAGTGCTGTTGCGGAACTGGAGCCTCTTGCTGATTTGACTTTACATATCAACAATGATGGCTTCCCACCGCAGATGTTGTACATGACATTAGGACGCAAGTGTAGGAAGGTTCGCAAGTGGAACGAAGTTCGCACTGCTTTCCTGCAGGGTCCAGGAGTTGCCATACCATTGTTCCGCTCACTCCTCATCTTCATCATGCTCTCTGGGCTTGCATGTCTTTTGCTTCCCTGGGACCACCATCTGGGCAGCTGAGAAGCAAGATACCATTTTCCCTGAATTCACCAGCTTTCGCCGAGTGATTCTAATCAAGCTGGCGACTGGCTATGGCTGATGGGAAATTGCGGCAGTGGAAATACCTAAAAGGAGTCATCATGTGCAACATCCTACTACAATCTTTTATCGGGTTGCTGTTGATCAAGGAACTTGGATTAAGTTGCTATTATGGGGAAGCCATCTGGTTTGTTATATACATAATACATCCATGATATGGTAATTTAGTCTCAGCCTCTAAACAGCAACCTGCTAGATGAGGGCATCTCGACAGGGAGTTACCCTGCAGAGTCCCTCCTGTTGATTCATCCCATCGCCTGAGTAGTTCTGATGAAAGTTCTTCTTCTGGTACAACGCAGCGGCGGCGGGGATCAAAAGGGTAGTTGCGGTATTTGTCGAAATCTGTGGAATACCTACCTACTCTCGACGATCTAGGATTTTTAGGTTTTCAAGGTTTCCTTTTTAGTTTTGAAGTACGCTGTGTCCGAAGATCAGCAGCAGGAGCCCCTGTTTATATGAAACGCAATCTTTTGGTTTTTTTCCTCCAGGTCCTGATTACAAACTGCCTATGTGCCAGCTGAAGTTTGTCGTTTCTGCAGCATAGGCCCGGTGCGCATGACAGTTCCTGGCCTTGAACACTCAGCATGCAAAGGTAATAGGACACGTGGCGGGGCTTGTCTAATTTTGCCCAGTGCGAAGTATGTCAATGATGAAGATGATGATGACTCTTGCCATTAACCCTAAACCCTAAACCCATTGGCTTGTACATGATGCTTGTGGGCTGTAAAGCAATTCTCTGATGTTCCGTGTATTACTATCATCGCAGGTAGGAGACACGCGGCTATACAGAGAGAGAGAGAGAGAGAGAGAGAGAGAGAGAGACAACGTGCACTTGGAGGTTCAGGATAAATACAACCCAATTGGGTCGTATTTTGTTTGGGGGTACTATGGTACCCAATATAGAGTAAGATTATATCCTCCTTTTGGGTGTAGTATTTTATATTATTATCTTACTAGGTTCAACTACCAAAAAAACACTACTCAATTGTAATTGTACAGAGTTGTAATTGTACAGATCATGATTCGCCTGAACCTCCACATGCAGGACTCTAGATAGCGCTGTAATTATCGCCGAATATACGTACATAAATACATACACATGTATGAGAACATACACCCCTGGACAACCTCAAGCATTTACTTGGAGGGCCAGCTGGACAAAGGATATAAACCTCATAAATCACATAGTAACCCCAGAAATCCCCACTATGAACCCACTTACTAAGTCCCCCTGACCCTAAACCCCAAACCCTAAACCCCAAACCCTAAACCCTAAACCCTTAAACCTTAAACCCTAAACCCTAAACCTAGAGAAAGCAGGGGTTTAAGAAAGCAGGTGTCGCGGCTCCGCCTGTGGCTCTGAAGAGCTCAGTCGTGCCTTCGAGGCTAGATGGCTGCTGGAGAGGGACTTCGGGTTTATGATTTGGGGCTTAGGATATTTTAGGGTTTAGGATTTAGGGTTTTGGATGGATTTAGGGTGTGGGATTTAGCGTTTAGGATCTAGGGTTAGGATTTCGGGTTTAGAGTACGTGGTTGCTACTCAGGGATTTGGAGGACACGTGAGGGAGATGTCAGGGATGAGAGGGACATATTACATAGGAAAATTATTGGGATGTATTGTTGGGGGCTCAGGTATGTAAAGTAAAATTCCAGTATAAGGAAAACATATTACTATCTCCTCTATACTTTGTAAGTGTCTTCACAGCAACCTGGTCTAGTCGACGCTGTGTAACAAGTAGGGAGGGTGTTGGGTCTAGTTTTGCTTTGTCTAGAACCGTCCATGTGAATATTAGCGGGCGTAAGTACAAGGCGTCTCGCCGAGGGCTTGCTTCGTTCAAGATCCTACCTCATATGTGCATATGGAAGTTTCCTTTTCATGCTGGTGATTGGTATGAAGGGTCCATGTATTTGGGGCTACCTTTGCCACTCAAGCGATTTAGGGGGTTCCCAGCGGAACACAAGTTGTGAAAACAGAGAAAATTTCAGTGAATTCTTGTCACGCATCATACAACTCCTAGCCCATACCGGTGCCCTTGCACGGTGTTCAACAGTGACGGCAATACAGTAGAATACGATTCTCTTGATGACTTGCTTTCCCAAATTCTGAGGTAGGCTTGGCATCGCAGCTCCCCAGATCAGATCGATGTCAGGAAACCAAGCAACTTCAAGAAATGATGGAATATCAAATCATAACCTTTCGATGGCCCGTCAATGCCGGGAGGAAGGGAAGGAGTCTCCCTTGCAGCCAATATTCTTCCTTCATGATCGGGCGGTGCGACTCTGAGACTCTCCAAGACTCATGGACCATTGTCAGGGGGCTCAAAAGGTGGGATGGAGGTAGGTGGGCTAAAGGCCCCTTAGTGTATACTGTACTATATTGGGGCTTATTTCCTATACCCCACCTTCCATCATCCCACCTTTTGAGCCCTTTGACATTGTTGGGAAGAGTCTTAACGTATGGGGCCTATCAGGGGTTGCCTAAAAATCGGGATACCATGGTTTTCGTCTAATTTTGGGAGATTTCCGTTTGACTTAGGTAAGGTTTTGGGGCATAGCATGCTATAGCTATATCAAGGTTGCAACGGAAAAACTTTGGTAATCATGCAGGTTCCCACGTGCGTCCGGAGTCCATACAATCAGGGATGCTCCCAACAAATCCTTTTCCTGTAATTAGAAGACAGGAAAACGCGCAAGATTTTGTTCAATCTGTGGTCCCAGAGTGTTGCCGAGGCACGTAGGAGCTTGAAATTGTCATACAACATGTCGAACTACTCCTCATGCGACATTCTTCGTCTAGATTGGACCCGTAGCACCTGTCAATCCTGGAAAAAATCCTGGGCAATTTATACCTCACCCGATCTCACTCTAAAAGGTGGTTTATATAGAGAACAGTACCAAAATTGCCTTAAATTGGGAATTGAAATTGTTTTGAATGCCCCTTAAACCCTGAACCCTGTAAACATATATCGCCACAAACCATGCGTCGCTGTGGGCCCCAAAAGTCAATACCGGGAGGTTTCCAGACCCCCTAAAGGATGCAAAAAATGGAACTGCCTAGTTTCCCCACTGTAATAATGGCTTCGTATTCCACTTTTTGGGATTCTTTTAGGGGGTCTGGGTTCTGCCTGCGCAAGCCGAGGCGCATGCCGAACGGCAAGCCCTGCTTCGACTTCTGAGGAGAATATATTCAGATTTCCCGTCCTGAAAAATATATTGGATTGATTGAGATTAATAATCCAGATGAGAAATATTGATTTTTCTAGACCGATTACTTTTTGCATCGGTTTCATCACTCTTTCCCCAAATTCCGGGCGGACACATATCGAAACAAAGGTCCGGGAAATGGATGCTCGAAAAAAAAATTCTAGGGGCTTGAACTCTCTCATCTTTAAGATTACTGCAATAGAGATGCCATTCACGGATGATTGTAATTTGAAACTAAACGGAATAACTCGTTGGGGGACGTTATTATTCCTATCCCTGAATTATGTTGATGGGGAGGGGACTTGATGAGGGGAATTTTGGAAACTTATTTGGGGATTGGAATACAGACGGATTAATAAGTAGTAGATATTTTCTGATCTTTGTAGTTTCGGAGATTGCATTTATTCTAGGTTGACTCTGATTGGCATGAATGATAGAAGAATTTGCATTCGAGAATATTTTATTTGAGATATTATCGAACAATATATACAAGAATTATTCATATTTCGTTCATCTTTGATTTGATTGTATTTATTAGCGACGATATTTACGATATCTAGATCGATAAATATAATATAATAGAATATAAATAGGATGGAAAAAAGATTATCATATTCTTATTCAAATTATATTCATAAGATCGATTTATTTGGTATATTTTTTTGATTTTCACGGCTAAATTGATGAAAGAATATATGCGCGTATATATTGTACTATAAGAAAATTGGAAAATCTTAATTTTGGAATAATAGAAATGAGATATGAAGATGAATATTTAGTAATAAATATTAAATCATTTCCGAAGAAGATTTTATAGAATAGATTTTCATGTAAAATATACGAACAGAATATGAAAGATATCTAGGATCTAAAATCTAATTGAATTTTCGGATTTTCATGAAAGAAATTCGATATTAGATACGTAAGATGATTGAAAAAAAAATATATTATATTTTGCAGATGATAATGAGATTTGATTTCATGATATATAATTATATATAGAATTTCTTCAATATAATTGGAAATCAATATATTTATTAAATAAAAGAAATATAAATAGGATTTGCAGAAGATTTATTTATTTTAAGAATCTATTATAGGTAATAGAATTGATCTTGAGAAAAAAATAAAATAATTTCTATATAATATATAATTTCATGAAAAAAAAAAGA